TGATTGAAATATGAGTATTATTTCTTCAAGAGGCCATACTATATTTTTATTTCTCGTTTCTTGATAATATTGAAGTGACTTTAGTTTAAGAAAAGATAACAAGAGTCTCACATCAAGGATGGCACCAATAAGTAGGTTTTGTCACTTTTTTTTTCTTGTTACCCTTTTTGACTTTTTAATTTACTAAATTAATGGAACTTTTTGGAAAGTTAGGCTACAATTAAGGAATAAGGGAAATTTAGTTATATTATTAAAAATATTAAAAGATTGGAGCTAAAGCTTATCATATTATTCAATTTTAATCAAGGAAATAATTGTTAGTATCTCCTACTTTGCTTTTTATGGGATATGATGTCCCAATTTAAGCTAAATATAAGTCAAAAGATGTCTTTTCCGATAACATGTTTCTAGTGTATGTTGCATGAATGAGTTGATATTGACCATTTTTACCTTAGTGGAGATATACATTAGTCAATTATATGTTGGTAGGCGAAACAACATTTGATATCAAATCTTATTGTATATATTTGAGTCAGTATAAGATATTTGTGCTTGCTAAAAAATTGCAACACAGATAATGGCGAGAGCTTGATAACCAGAGATGATAATAGTGGTTGATTCTGCGATATAGCTTAATTCGGTTACTATTGACAAAAGTAAATTTCAATAGAGGATAAGAATGCAAGGTAGAAGTACATAGATGAAAGATGGGTCTTTGCTATAGACTTTGTAGGTTTTGTCATTCGAAGAATCGAGAACTTATCAATTTAGGTAGGGTTAATTGTCATTTTTTCCATTTTTGATGATACATCGACGTTCTATGTCATTTCACCTTCGTCGAGCTTAGCAGTCTTGATTGTACTTGGTTTGTGTTTGAACTTAGATGTTTCATCCTACATTGTGAAGTATGAGTTCGACCTCATATGTACAACTTTCTCGAAACATGGGGATTCAAATTTTTAAATTTGAATATATGGGCTCCAAATTTTGTTTTGATTAATGCAACTATCCTTTTAGTACCTCGAGCTTATTCAATGTACACTAACATGTGATTATGGATAACATATAAAATACATATAAAGTAACATAACAAAACAAAACACATGTGTTAATTTGGTGAGACAAAATTAAAGCATCCTTGACCTAGGATAGCATTAAGCCATCCACTTCAAGACAAGTACATTTAAAATAATGCCATATTTAGCTAATAAGAATATAGTTTATAGCTGGTCGGGTTGAGTCGAGACACGTCATTATTTTGAGCAACATAGTAGAGTTTACTTTTTCGAGCCAAAAATGCCATCAACGTTATATAAATGAAGTGTTCAAAAGCAAATATTGAATGAGAGATGCTCTTAACGAGTTATTATCGTTCAAATTATAAAGAATTGAATTTTTTTCCCTTCATAAAAACCAACTTTTCCACAGACATTAAAAAATGATCCAAAGAACAAGCCCTAATCTGTCTTATTGAATCAAATGATCCAACGGTTCAACGGCTAAAAACTGCCCAATTTTTAATCAGCCCTTAATTATTTGCCACGTCTGTCTTATTGTACTATGTTTTTCTATAGAATCAAATGATCCAACGGTTCGACGGCTAAAAACTGCCCAATTTTTAATCAGCCCTTAACTATTTGCCACGTCTAGAATTACAGATTTTAGAATCTTCCAATTAAACGACATCCCTACTTGAATAATACGTCCTTAAAATTGACATTTAAACCGTTAATTAAAGGACACGTAATACGGCAGCGTTTGGAAAGGCGACGGTCCTTTTCTAAAATTAATAGCGAACCGACAGCACTATATTTGACATATCACGTTTAAGAAAAGAATATGGAATTTGTGTCGGCACTTAGTGAAGCTTCTAAGTAATGACAAGAAGAAGAAAATGATTTTGTGGGACTATGTGTTTAATGACTATGTACATTATTTCTCCACAATTGAGATATTTTAACTTCAATCGATCGAGAAGACAAGAATGAATTCAAAATACATTGCGATTCGGCTTTGAATTATTGATTTTCAGTGTGTTTTCACCGAGTTTAAACCTAAGTATGTAAAGATGGTTTATGTAATAGAGTTGGATTTTGTGCTCGGTAGATGTTTAGGACTTGTTTGACATGGCTTTTGAAGATCAAAATTATATTTGAGTCTATTTGAATAACATTTTAGACGTGTTATGCATGACTAGAATAGTTTTTAGAATTTTTACAGTAGAAGTTAAGTTATCCTAAACAAACCCTTAAAGAGCATATTTGATACGATATTAGACCCATACTCTGAGCAAGTCATGAAATTTATACTCAAATATTCCTAGTAATTCAAAGAAAGGGTTCTCACCTGGGCTCTGAAGGAAATTTTACCGGTCATGATATTGTAGTATTCGCTAAGGGACTAGCTTACTTGAATAAGATTTTAACACACACACACACACACACACACACATATATATATACACGCTTGATGTTTATATAAAACAAATTGAAGAAAGCCATGATGCATATGGACGAAACAAAAGAAATGAGAAGAATGTTAGGTATTTTAGGTATAAGCCATAGTGGCCATTGAAATTTTGAGAAGAAGCAACAAAACCTTTGTGTTATGGATGGGCATTAAGAAAAAGTTGATGTTCATGCACTTGAAAATGAACTAATATGGTCCAGTTCTTTATATATTATCTTGTTCAAACCTAACATTCACGACAAGTAGAGTTGTATGAAACATTATCCGACAAAGAAAATGAAAGTTGCCATGAATGTAAATAACGTTTTTTTTTTTTTTTTTTTTTTTTTTTTTTTTTTTTTTTTTTTTTTTTTTTGCTTTTTAGAAATGAAAATCTATAGTGGCATAGGGAAATGAAAATCTATACTGGCATAGGGAAATTGGCTTTGGTTTACCAATTAGGGAGCCATGAGTAGCCCATGCGCACGCATTGGCTAAATTCACTTTCCATTCCAATTCATCAGTTTTGGGCCCAAATATATCACATTTTGTACTTAATTAGGCCCAATATAATATTTGAACAAATTATATAGCACACACAACATGCAACAAAAGTTTCTGCAACAAGAACGCATAGGCATTGGTTCCACCAATTGTTGTTTGGTTTTGAGGTGATCACGTTGGCCCCCAAATGGTTTGGTTTTAAGGTGGCTATGGGTTTTAAAGTCTAAGCACCATACAACTTTTTATTTATCATTTTGCAATAAGAAAAAAAATGTTTGGTCCCTATATTTGAGTCCAACACGACTAGGCCACAGGGATAGGGCAAGCCATGGCATCAAGTTTAATTGGGATGCTCGATGGGTTAGTCTAGTCGTTTGACTTCCTTATCTTTGGACTCGGATTGACTCGCCTCACGAGCTCTGCGAGCCACTCACGTCTCGTTGAGTCCCTTTTTTAGTTGAAAATTACGTTTTGTAGCTAAAATGCGAGTTGCTCGCAAGCCTAGTTTGAGCTGCAGTCGATGAGCAGCTCGTCCTAGGTGTGATTGTGCCAAAAGCATGTTGAACAACTCCATCTTGAGTGATTCGACATATTTAACATAGATATAGAACCTACATACACATCTTAGCCACAAGCTTTACATACAACGATGACAATTTGATCTAATAACATCAAGTCCTAAAAATTGGTTAGCAAAACTTAGCATTGATAAGAACTTAATCTTTTCAAGTTATTGACTTGGGTCTGAATCTCCTGGGGGTGGAGTAAGGGTGAAATTCCCAAAAAAAAAAAAAAAAAAAAAAAAAATTTCCGAAAGAGAGAAAAAAGGTGTTCAGCCTAATTTTGTCCGAACTAGAATATTCGGAGGCCCAAGTTTAAATATGGGCTCTTCCAATTGAATGGATTATTATGGGCTAGGTTTAGAAAAAAGAAAAAGATAGAATTTGGAGGCCCACTGTTTTACTATGGGCTTTTAATTCGCAATTCTCCATGGGATTATCATATTTTTAGGTGTTTATTGAGTAAAATAAGTGACTGTTTGACACCCATTAATTTATTTTATGGTTTGTTATAAAATCATTTTTAACCATTAATACAAAATAAATATTCTACACATATATCAAAAATATTTTTCTATTTTTTAACTACATATTCTCCTAAAAATACTATTCAAAATTCTTTTTTCCCAATTAATGAGGATCAAACATGCTCTTAATTTGGTTCAACAAAAAAAAAATTGAAATTTCATATCAAAATCAACAATTAATTTTAATATCATGTTTCATGGAAATCACATATTTTTAACTGCACATTCTATCAATTTTTATCGAATTATACTAAAAATATAATTTTTATCTAAATTGAATTGGGACTTATTAATCAAGTTTTAGATTAAATTGATAAATACTTTGCCAATTTATTCTTTGGTCAAATGAAATTTTAGGTCTCATTGAATATATGAATTTGCATCTTCAAATAACGAAAATCATTAACTAAATATTACAACCTTGTGCGACTTTCAAATGTATTGAAAATAAATTTTAAATGGTATGACATTTTTTCATCTAGTTGTGAATTATATGAAAGTTTCGTGCAATTTTAATATTTACATTGACGATTTTGGTTCACTAGAGAATCCATATGAGCAGTGCTGTCTGTACAGGCCACACACAATATAGGGGGTGGGATAATTTTTTTTTTTTTAAATAATCCCCCACCCACAGCATGTGAGGGGCTAGGCCTCCAACGCACATATACCAATTTAAATAAGGAAAGAACATAAAAAATTTTGAGGACCTATAAACACATTATGTAAAAGATTGAGGAGCACAGTTCTAATTCATCTCAAGCTTCAGAGACATCCCACGTCCTTTTACTATAGTTACAGCTCATTCCGAGACCCACACTTCACCTAAATTTCTGAATCGTCGATCAATACATTCATAAGAATTGGACGTCCGGATCTGACTTTGACACAGTAATAGCCAATGACCCCCGTCACCATCCCACCCGCTCGAAGAATACAGAGAACCCAGACACATTCAGTCTCTCTTCTCTCTCTCTAAACTGTTTCGACTTTTTAACGCTAACCAAGACTTTTGTGTAAAGCTCCATCATTGAATAAAGAGTTCAAAAGCTAATATATTCTAAATTCACAGCTTCCAGATTAAAGAAATAATTTGGGGTATGTTCTGACCTTTTTTTTTTTTTTCTTTTTTTTCATCAGTTGGTGCATCTTATTCTCTCCTTTTGATTTCTTGAGTTAATGTGGTTTTTTTTTTTTTTCTGGTATTTATGTTTCATCAGTTGCTATTGGAATAAATTTTATTGGGATTTCTACTTTCTTGCTTGAATTGTTTGGTGCATTTAATTGGACTGGTATTGATTGATTTATGGGGTAGTGTATTTCTGTAAAATGTGTTGTAAGGTTTGATTAAGCTCAAGTTTAAGTTTGAAATAATATTAATTAAGTGATTTTTTTTTCTCGAAATTATCTGATCTCTTCAAGTATTTAATACTTTTCAGTTTCTTTATTTGCTTCAGTAGGTGAAATGAAATTTCTGTGATCATGGTGTGATAATCTATGGGGTATGAGTTGCTAGAATGCAGGGGTGTGACCCATCAATTTTTCCATTTTTTTTTTAATTTTTAAAAAATCACATAAATAAACCCTGCCTTGCTATTTTCCGCAAATTGAAAAATTTCCTGTCTTCCTCCGCTAGCCCAGCAGCCTGCCTTGCGAATCACGATTTCAGTTGTCCGTCTCTCCCTTCCGCCCGGCCGCCACTGCCCTTCCTCCTCTTCTCTCCAGTCTCCCTATGCGGTCTGTTTTCTCTTAGTTTTACTTTTTTCTTTGAGTGTGGGGTGTGAGAAGGGAAGGGAAGGGAAGGGGGCTGTTGAGCTTCTTCATTTTAGTTTAAGTTTGAACTTGTTGAGCTTCTTTGCCATATTTGTTGTTGTTGCTTCTGTGCACGTGTTCTATTAGGAGTTTCCTCTGGCCAATTGCCCAGATGTGGGTTGGTAATGGTTAACTGCAGTGCTCCACAGAATCCAAGAATCCGAACCATCCTATGAGATTCTGGACTAGTTTTCTACCAATCTAGTATTGATTCGAAATCAATTTCTTCAAGGTTTTTAAGATAATAATTATAAGGAAAGATGCATTATATTTTTTAATTTCTCTATGCCAGACTCTCCTTCTATTTCAATTTCATTCTTCCCCAGTATCTCTGTTCAAATGCGCCAAAGGTATGAACTACAACAATGAGATACCTAATTATAGAATATATCAGACTTGTAGTTTCTGGTGAAATGGCAAATTTCTTTTTGAGCTGAAGTTAGAATTCATAGTAGAACCTCACCTCAAATATAGGGAGAGTATGACTTTCTGGCTAGTTGGTGAGCAATTTTATTGTGATTTTGATTGCAAACAGCTATTGTTATATTACAACCACTACGTTCTCAATTAATTCGTGTCAAATGTCTTATTAAATATGAGTTAACAGACTAATATGACATTACTCGATCACATGAATTCGTTTTCTTTTCACATGCCCTAAAGTTGCTGTTCTATGCTGTGAAATTTGAAATTTGCTTGAAGCAACTTGACATTGTCTAATTTTTGGGTGTTAGTTTATCCCCTTTAGGTGCTTTAACCGAGTCTATAATAGGTGTATCGGTAACATGCGTTTCGGAGCTGCATGACTGAGCAGGCACTGGCCTTCGAGTTGAAGATATTACTGCTGGCAACTTTTTCACAACTTTTTTGCAAGTTTGATTGTGCTCCCGTAACTTAAACTGTCTTTGTCCAGTACCGCTAGAAAGTATTTATCTTAAGCAAAGTATAGAAATTGATCGCAATCTAAACAATTTTATCCATTACTTACACCTACGTGCAAGTTTATTTGTTACCAATTGTTGTTGATCAATCATTCACTCTTTTGTGGTGGAAACTAAAGAATATTAAAATAATAGACATTTGGGGAGAAGCTTGGGCTTGCCGCTGGATCAGCAATCCAGGGTATGCATAAAAAGGAAGAATTAGGGTTTTATTGTGGATTTTTTTGTTAAAAATTTCCGAATTTGTATTCTGCTAATCTATTTTGTGTAGTTGGTCCACTAGAATAGTTGTTGACAAGTTTATTTTAAAACCTATTCTCCTGTATCAGTCATTTTCTAGTAGCAATCCTAGTATGGCGAGCATTGATAAATTAACTTTATATTCATTTTTATGAGAATGTAGACAGCAAGAATTAGGATTTTAGCAGGGATTTTGGTTAAAATTTTCCTACTGTGTATATTGCTAATCTATTTTGGGTAGTTATTTCACTGGAATACTTGAGTTTATTTTATAACTTATTCTCACCTTATCAATCTTTTCCTAGTATCAACCAATGTATGGCAAGCATTGATAAATTGCTCTATATTCATTTCTACGAGCATGTACACGAAGGAAGAATTAGGGTTTTAGCTTAAAATTTTCTGGCTTTGTATGCTCATCCATCTGTAGTAGTTATTCTTTTGTTGACAAGTTTATCTTAAAACTAGCTTATCAGTATTTTCTTGTATCAATGTTTATACGGCAAGCAGAATTCCATTGGTCTACCTTAGGATAAGAGTTTGAATCTCTATATATCCTTGATAAAGGTTCTTTATTCATTGCTACAGGTATGTAGGCAAAGGAAGAATTAGCACTGAGGTCATTCATTTAGCATGGAGGCCTGCAATTGTATTGAGCCACAATGGCCAGCTGATGAATTGTTGATGAAGTATCAGTATATCTCGGATTTCTTCATTGCGTTGGCTTATTTTTCTATCCCATTGGAGTTGATCTACTTTGTCAAAAAATCTGCAGTATTTCCATATAGATGGGTTTTGGTGCAGTTTGGGGCATTTATTGTTCTTTGTGGAGCAACACACCTGATCAATTTATGGACGTTCACCATGCACTCAAGAACAGTGGCAGTTGTCATGACCACTGCAAAAATTATGACTGCTGTTGTGTCGTGTGCTACTGCCCTTATGCTAGTACATATCATCCCCGATTTATTGAGTGTCAAAACAAGGGAGCTATTTTTGAAAAATAAGGCTGCTGAGCTAGATCGAGAAATGGGCTTGATCCGTACGCAGGAAGAAACTGGTAGACATGTTAGAATGCTAACTCATGAAATCAGAAGCACTCTTGACAGACATACCATACTGAAAACCACACTTGTTGAACTGGGAAGAACATTGTCCTTGGAAGAATGTGCGTTATGGATGCCAACGCGTACAGGACTAGAGCTTCAACTTTCTTACACTCTACATCACCAAAACCCAGTTGGATTTACCGTACCTATAAACCTTCCAATGATCAACCAAGTGTTCAGTACAAATCGTGCGGTAAAAATCTCACCAAGTTCTCCTGTGGCCAGACTTCGACCTTCTGGAAAGTACATGCCTGGAGAAGTGGTTGCTGTGCGTGTCCCACTCCTGCACCTTTCTAATTTCCAGATTAATGCTTGGCCTGAACTTTCGACAAAACGCTATGCTTTGATGGTTTTGATGCTTCCTTCGGATAGTGCAAGGCAATGGCATGTCCATGAATTGGAGCTTGTTGAAGTGGTGGCAGATCAGGTTAGATTCCAAAACATCTCTTTTCTCGTTACATGTGATTTGATTGGAAAATTTATTTTTTATTCTTCAATGTGGGCTTCTGGCATTTTCTACTTAAATCTATATGATTGTTTTAGAATGTTTGGAAGTGATTTTGTCAATCTATACAAGACTGCTTAAGACTAGAATTGCTAATCTAAATAAAATGAGATGCAGCAGGAGTAGAGCAATCTCCTTTCCTTTTTCTTTTCACTGTTGGCAGTGGGTCATATATTTATGCAGTAGTAGTAATCTTAGCTTTCTTTTCCAAAGCTGATATGCGCCATTAAAACAAAAGTGATGATTGTTTGGAGAAGTTGTAGTATTTTGACAAGGTTTTACTTATTGGATTCATTCTATCGATTTCTCCTTGATGCATAAGCAGGAAAATAATAAAAATTTCGTTTGGAAGGAAAACCTAAGCATGAGGTTGTATGTGTCCATTATGTAAAAACATTTGTAGTTGAGAATTCTGAGGCAAGGATGCATCTTCTTATTTGTACTGCATTCTGCTTTCAATCCACAAGAAATTGGATTTGAAGTTCGTAAATGTACAGTGTTTTTTATTAGTTATATTTGTTGTTGAATCAGGTGGCTGTTGCTCTTTCACATGCTGCAATTCTGGAAGAATCTATGAGGGCAAGGGATCTTCTTATGCAGCAGAATGTTGCTCTTGATCTCGCTAGAAGAGAAGCAGAGACGGCTGTTCGTGCTCGTAATGATTTCTTAGCTGTTATGAATCATGAAATGAGAACTCCCATGCATGCCATCATTGCACTTTCATCTTTATTACAAGAAACTGAGCTGACGCCCGAGCAACGTCTGATGGTTGAAACAATACTCAAGAGCAGTAACCTTTTGGCTGCACTTATCAATGATGTATTAGATCTTTCAAAGCTTGAAGATGGTAGCCTTCAACTTGATATGGGACCTTTTAACCTCCATGCACTCTTTAGGGAGGTAGGATTGTGCAATATTTGTTTGTAACTTTTTGTTTTAGATCAGTGTTTGAAAATGAAACAAATGGCTAACTGAGATGTCTGCTACTTTTTGCAGGTCCTTAACTTGATAAAGCCTATAGCATTTGTGAAGAAGTTGTCCATTACATTGAGCTTGTCTTCAGATTTGCCAGAGTACGCCATTGGTGATGAGAAGCGGCTAATGCAAGTTCTTTTAAATGTAGTTGGGAATGCTGTGAAGTTCTCCAAAGAGGGCAGCATCTCCATATCTGCTTTTGTTGCAAAATCGGAGTATCTTAGAGATCCTCGAGTCCCTGATTTTTTCCCTGTACTAAGCGATAACCAATTCTATTTACGTGTACAGGTTTGTGTCTTCATACCTAATTAATGTATTTTGCTAATAAATGATTATTCTTAATTTTTTAGGTTGATTATGACTATGCTCTCTATTATATAGGTAAAAGATACAGGATTAGGAATTAACCCCCAAGATATTCCTAAGCTATTCACAAAATTTGCTCAAAGTCAACCTCTGGCTGCCAAAAACTCTAGCGGTAGTGGGCTTGGTCTCGCAATTTGTAAGCGGTAAAGTCTTCACTACTTATCCTGAAATATTGTCATTCTTATAAACCATACAACCTTAAAATTGTAGTTTCTGCATTTTTTGGTGGTAACCACCACCCCTTGTGTGACCAGGTTTGTAAATCTCATGGAAGGACAAATTTGGATTGAAAGTGAAGGTCTAGGCAAGGGATCTACCGCTATCTTTATCGTGAAACTTGGATTTCCAGGACACTCGAATGAGTCAAGGCTCCCGTTTGTGCCCAAAGTTCCTGGAAATCACGTGCTTACAAACTTTTCAGGGCTTAAAGTTGTTGTGATGGATGATAATAGGTATGCTTCTTTCCCCCCTTGCATTTTAAACTCCCTTTGGATAAGTTATAAATGATTTCTAAATGGTCACAGTTCCTTTTTAAACACACTTTTCAATGGACCCTCCACTACATAACCACATGTTTTAACCACACATTCCATTTAAAGATCATTTATAATTTATCCATACAGAGGCTTATATTTTATCCCTGCTAGTTTTGCCATCCATGGATTCTGTTCTGTAGATACAAATTTCTATTTGGCTGGTGTGATGGCTGAACATTCACAAGTTTCTGCAATAGAACCAAGGTAAAAGATGAGATTGGCTGGAAGTATCTTGTAGACTAAAAAGGCATTTTTTGAGTGTACTGGGGGAACAAAGTTCAGGCAAATAGAAGAAAAGTCTATCTATTGCCACTTCATGAATTCTGGACTGTATAATACAGTAGTATCAAGATTTGTAAAAGCCAAGTATCGTCTGGAAATATACACCTTCTCTATGCCCTCAAAGTTTGGCACCCTATATCAGGATAACAGAGAAGTGGTCAACGATCCTTACCTTAAACATTACCTCTCTAACAAGAATTAGACTATTAAAAAGCTCATCTTGCAAGTCTTTATTTTTCACTTGAATCTATGCTCCGTGTCTTTCTTTCTTGCTTTTTTATACAAAAGAAGGGTTTCACATCATTTTGTTGTCCTTGATATGGAATGCTGCATTACAGAGCTCTTATCTCCATTAATCTTCTTTGCTCGAAAAACGGAGAGGAATAAATGGAAAAAAGTACGAGGAAATGTTGTTATATTGTTAAGGTTCATCTTAGATGGGAGCCTTTTGTTTTCTTTCGCCAGATTCCCACATTATTCATGTTCATGGGAGGTTGCATAAGTTACGGCACTTAAAAAGAAAGGAGCATCTTAGGGTGTCAGACCTGTCTCTCAATCAAAATTTGGTGTAAAAAAGTTCAGTTAGATTTAAAAACATGATGTCTAATAAAAACACCTTTTTTTTTTTTTTTTTTTTTTTAACGCATGCAATGAAGTTTTTCAGTTCAAAATTCAGTGAAAGTCGTCTCATAACTAGTCTAATTTGTTCCTTATCCCATAAGTGAATGCTATATTTTACTGTTTACATGTAAGTTTGTATTTTATAATTAGAATTTTCTTACTTTGTGATGCAGCGTTGGCCTGATGGTAACCAAGGGCCTCCTTATGCACCTAGGATGTGACGTAGTGGCTGTCGGTTCGGCAGATGAGTGCGTGAGAGTCGCTACCGCTGAGCACAAGGTGGTTTTCCTTGATGCTAGCCTGCCAGGTTCGGACGCCTACGAAGTTGCTGTACGTTTGCACGAGAAATTTGCGAAACGACTCGATAGGCCTTTCATTGTAGCACTCACGGGGAATACTGATAGGATGGTAAAAGAGAATTGCTCGAGAGTTGGAATGGATGGAGTCATTTTGAAACCTATATCGGTCGATAAAATGAGAAGTGTTTTATCAGAGCTCATAGAGCATGGATTTCTGGTTGAATCACAATAAGCAGAAAGGCTAGTACTGAGTACCTATATTTGAAAGTGAATAACTGTGAGAATGCAGAAACCGGGTGATAACTTATTCTTCAACATGGAGTTCACTATACAACATTATGGCATTGCAGTGTATATCCCGAGCCGTGCAGTGGTTTGAATTATTGAATATGTCGACTTTTTTTCATGTGTATCTGTGATTTCAGAATGACGATCACAAGAAATGATGATGATATCATTTGAAACTCTGTAAAAACCTGAAGAGATGACTTGTTTTCTTAGGTATAAGTTATTACTTATTAGGATGCTCTGAATTGAGTTGAAGTTTGTTTCAGTTGTAGATTTTGTGCCTGAACTGAAATTGAGTGGTGTTTCCTAATCATTTTCTCAACAAGAGTTTGATTATGATAGAGGAATCTGTTTGAATCGTACTCTGCTAATGTGACTCCATTCTTCCTATATTTTTGGTTTTAAGATCTTGAAATTTGTAACATACTCTATTACTAGTTAGTTTTTTTTTTTAAAAGTGCTTTTCTTTTGCTGTTGAACTTTAAAAATTTTCTGGGTTGCTGATGAACTTCTATGAATGTTTCCTAGTTGTCATTGGTTTGAAGGTTCTTTTAGTTGTCACTGAACTTAACTAATATTTTATACCATTCACAGTTTTTTTCAAAATGTTTTCTAAACTGTCACTTTATTTTTATTTTTTTTATTGGTAAATGTGAAATTCTATTTATCAAAAATCATATACAAATATGTCAGACATACTCGGGTAAACAACATTCAAGTGAAGATTACAAGTACGTCGAATATATTCGACCAAACAAAATGAAAGATGTACAAATGATAATGGTTATGTGAGAAGTGTATTAACAAGTGAGATAGTATTTTGGAAAGTTCAATGTGTGAGATATTTGGGAAAGTTCATTTTAAAATTCAATAGTCAATGAGATATTTAACTAGCAAATATATAATTACGGAAGAGGAAAAATACAAATATTACATGAAGATTTAGCTCATGTTTGGTTTTGATTAGAATCAGATTTTAATTTAGCAAAGTCAAACAATTAATATTAACTACATATTTTATGGGTATCACAATTTTTCTACCATATTTTTTCAAAATTTTATATCAAAATTTACTAAAAATTTAATTTTAATCCCCACCAAATATGAGCTTATTTGATAAGTTGAATTACTAGATAGTATAAAAGAATAAGAGGGTGTTCAGTAGAGATTTTGGGAATTGATTTTTTTGACCGTTGAAGATAAAAGTGAATTATACCTGTTAGAGAAGGATTCAAAAATGATAGCTCAAATAGTGAAATAACAATAAAAAAAATTGATTTTAATTGACTTAAAATCCCGATCAAACAACCCCGAAAAATAAACTAACATCAAGTAATGGGACATATCCATCAGAAAAAATGACCATAAAAAGTTGACAAGAACAAAATAAAAAACATCACGTGACAAAGTTTGTTGAAGGTGTATGTGTGAAAGGGACAAAAAGTTGGGAGGCATGAAAAGTATAAGGGTGTATTATAATAAACTTTTCATTGTTTAAGACACAGAAAATCACTTAAAAAAGATTTTTCTTTTTTTCCTAAAATGATCTGACTTTCACTTTTCACCAACTTTTTATTTTATAATGATTACGTTGGATTTAATCTAAGTCAAAGTTAATAATTATTTTTAATTAAATATTTCGTGGAATTCAGAACTTCTCAACAACATATTTTGTTAACTTTTATCCAAATCTATTAAAAATCTGATTTTAATAATCACGGAATATGGGCTAAATTTCACCTTTTAATTTGACCTTGCATTATATTCATAAAATAGTACATATGATAAACACTATAGGTAATAATCAATTAAACATATACCAAAAGAAAGACAAACAAGTGCATAAATTGACTTAAAATAGTCTCCTAACAATTTATTTTGCATTTTTTTTTGGAAGAATCGATTTGTTTAAAGTGATTTTTAAATTGTGCGATTAAAAAATAGTAAAAAATTATGAATCCATATTACAAATTATTTTATTTGGAAAATATGATTAAACGAGTTTAAAAAAAATGACTTGGAGGATACAAACACGGATTATTCCAAGTTTATACATACTATAAAAACTCTAACCAAAATTAAAATCTTTTCTAACAACAACCTCCTATTTCGTTTCTATAAAAATCAGATTTATAGTAAATTTTGATAAAATTTGACAAAAAAATTGGTTGAAAAGTTACGAGTTTCATAAAAGGTGTGGTTTAAAATATATTTAAAAAAAATAAGAGCCAAACATGGACTATCGTTCGACATTATATAATAAAAATATTTTCAATATAACGCTGAAAAAGGAAATTATTTTTTGTCGAAAATAATTTTAGTGTATATTTCATTAATTTTTTGCTTTTTCCCGTAAACCTCAACTGCTTATTCAATGAAGATAATGCCAATCCATTTATCTCGTCACCTTACCGAAGTAACAAACAAAACAAAAGCCAAGCTTGAATCATCTTACGTTTGATCTTCTTCCCTCACTTCTATACACACTCTCTACAGTCTATATATACATACACATTGTATTGTATGTATATGTTTATACGTACAAATGAATATATACATTCTCTCTACTGCACAAAAACAAACAGTAGAAGAAAAAGAAAAGGGAATGTCATATGCTTTGGCTATCCATAAACCACCACCAAAAAACCATTTACACTAGCAATCAAGAATTGTTACGAAAAGTCGAAAACCCTTGAATATTTCCTTTTTATTTCTTTCTCTCTGTTGTCGTTGTCATTATCAAATGGGTTTATGGTTACAGACTTTAATACACCCACAAATATAGAGAGAATCTGTTTAGATTACATTGGGATCACCAAAATCTGAAATTTGAGGGGAAAAAAAATAAAAACCATTACTGATTGATCTATATACACAGTAGAAATTGAATATATAGCAGTAGTGAGAATAATAGGTATAATTATATTTTCCCTCATAGAATAAATTACACAGAGTATGATACAATATTTATAGCCACTTTGGAGTTGTGAGCAAGAAATGAAGGAAACAGATTACACGTGCAAGACACCAAAGAATAAATACAGTTATAACAAATTTGCATAGCACCCAGTTGCACATTAGCAACAACCAGATTTTGTGATAAACACGTGAGTTTGAATTCAGCAATGGACGTGTGATGATGCATTTTAACATCCTCCCTCAAGCTGGAGTTCATTCTTTGACTCCAAGCTTGTCCTTAAGAAGAAGGAATTTGGTTTGTGAGAGGGGTTTGTTTAACAGGTCTGCAATCTGATATGATGATGGAACATATTGAGTCCTCAGTTTGCCTTCAAGAACCTTATCTCTAACAAAGTGTATATCCAACTCAATATGCTTAGTTCGAGCATGATAAACAGGATTTGAAGCCAAGGCACTAGCACCAAGATTATCACACCACAACACAGGAGGTGAGGCTGAGTGCAAATTGATTTCTTTAAGTAGTGACTCAATCCAAGTTATCTCAGCAGCTGCTTGTGCTAAGGCTCTATACTCTGATTCTGTGCTGGACCTAGCCACAACATATTGTTTCTTTGAAGACCAAGCCACCAATGTATCCCCTAAGTATATTCAATAATCGGCTGTTGACCTCCTATCATCAGGGCATGAGGCCCGATCTGCATCAGTAAAACCAGTGATGCATATTTTGTCACTTTTTTGAATCCATAATCCTTGCTCAATAGTCCCTTTTAGATATCTAAAGATTCTCTTAGCTGCTATCCAATGAACATTTGAAGGTGTGTGCAAAAATTGACTCATCTTATTCACAGCAAAGGTTATGTCGAGCCGTGTGTGTGCTAAGTATTGAAGTCCACCAATTGCACTTCTATACAATGAAGGGTCAGACATCTTTTCACCTTCACTTCTGGAGATAATCTTGCCTGCTGTCATAGGTGTTGAGCAAGGTTTGAGATGTTCATAATTGAATCTTCTTAGCAGGTCCCTTGTATAATTGGTCTGAGTGAGATACATGTCTGATTCATCTCTTTTTACCTCAATTTCGAAGAAATGATGTAGTTCTCCCATATCTTTTAGTGCAAATTGTGTATTCAACTTATCAATAAAGCGCTGCAACACCTTCTGATCATTGCCCGTGACCACTATATCATCAACATATACTAAGGCAAAAATTACATGATTTTGATTCATGTAAAAGAATAATGAACTATCTGCCTTTGACTTTAGAAAGTTCCAATCAAGAAGAGTTTCCTT